ATGTCTCACTACCACTATCTTGTTTGCCGACCGCTGTAAGATGCATGACAAGACTTTCATATCTAAAGAAAAAACTACGGAATTGCACCCTAATCCAAGCATGCAGTGCATTACTTGGTTATTGCCGATTTTCCACGCTATGAATGCTGAAGATGGGTATACAAAAAGCTTTGGCATCAGGAAATCATTAAATTAACACAAAATGTTGCACACCTTATGTGCAGGCAAAAATCAGTCAAACAGCATTCATGGTATAGAAATGATATTGGCATATGTATACTACAGATATGAACATACGCAGTATGCAGATAACTACATGAACATAGTAAAATTTAATTCTAATGCACTGGCATACTGGTAGTGTTGAACCGTCAGTAAGAATAACAATCACCGGTAAGTTCTTGCAATTTACATATATTCGTACATGAACATTTATATCATGTAACATAATAAAAAATATGCAAATTAGTGCAAGTCCATGTCTGCACTTTATCACCGTTTCGACATCTGACAGAAGTCACCAAAAAAGCTGCAAGAGAACGAAACGTAAACCTGTTCCGCTGGCGGACTTCGAAGTGCCCAGTCGAGCTCGATTTGGAAAATTGGGGAAGGGACAGGAATGACGACGTTGTTCTTCAGAGATGTTATGACGGTCATGCGTGCTGACAGAAACTTCAAACAGTAAATAACGTCAAATTGCAGTCGGTTTACACCACTGTGCTGTCATGCAAATTTTAACGATCCAAATAAACGTAAGGATCGAGTTTTCGAATGAGGCGTCAAACGGCTCGTTCCTCAAACCTCAAAACATTTGCATGTGCAACGGAGATAAGAAGTCACGTAAGTATGTTTATTTATAACCTATGTAATAAATGGATTATATGTGAGGAGAGTTTAACACAAAAGGTCAACCTACACTGTTGATAGATTGTTTAAAGTTTAGCTACTTAGACGAAACATCCAAGCATCAATTAAAAACTTAGGCAAATTAGATGTACAAATTGATAACGACAACAACGATTGACTGATGCGACTCGGTATTTTATTTAGGGAGTATCACAAAAAGTTGACTTCTATGCCTACCGTGGTATGTACCCCGCGATTTGTCATTACGACTTTCCATATATCGCTTTTTGCCCACCTGAGCTGAGACATTTGAACAGGGCACTTGGGTGCCAATCCGAAATTGTTGAAGCTCATCGGTCATCCGGTAGTTGAGTGATGTAGTCTGATTCGAGGTGTATTCATATGACTGGGGACAACTTTTGTTTGTGCTATTCGTTTCATTCGACCATGGCAAATTGTCTTGGCTACTGTGCCCGCTTGTCAGTAGTCTTGTACAGAGCGTCCGTTTGCCCTTCACCACAGTCGAACGCTGTTACGCGACGCCTCTGACTCTCTGATGAATCGGGCATAGCCACATATTCTCCGACGGCTTCACACAAATTACAGCAACAATAATTACAATAAAAAATTAAAAGATTTTTGTAATTGACAAAGAAGAAATCCACGAATCACTGGAGGGGCGAGGTTTGATTTTGTTTCGAGAGCACGCTCTGCCCCCTCATTCACGAATTTCCCGAATGAGCAGGAAATTTACCACACATTGTTTCAGGCCGTAGACAAACGTACATATATCATAATCTTCATGTATTTGGGTAGCTAACACTATGTAAAATTCCGACAGTAATCATAATGTTTCGACTACTGAGACCGGATTTAAGTATTGCCAATAATTTGTATGATGTTCTCAACAATGAACAAACAAATTAGCTGCAGCTTCAGCAACGTGTCCAAAAAACTATTTATCAAACTACCTTCGCGGATAATTTCCTTTCCAATTCTAATCGTCTCCACTAATCGCATTTGCTGCTTTTTCTCCCATATGAGTATCTCATCTCTGCACATTTGCAAACGTCACCACAAAACAGCACTAAAGCTGACCTTTATATAACCTTTCTTTGAAAGCTGTACGTCGTCACGGCGACACTTGGGTACTGAAAATGATGAAATCACTCGTTCGATCACTGTCCAGTTACGGTCACAGCGGGGTTGAAGAACCACTGAAGTGAAATGCAGAAATGAACTAAATCCCACTTCCAGCCAGCTGGACTACAATTAGTAGTAATTAATTACGTAGGGTGGTGATGCAGTGTGTAACACGTCGGCATCGAACGACAACTCCGGAGGTTCCGAGTTCGATTTGCGAGGCGGAAAGTTTTTGTCATTACCACGAATTTTCTCGATAAAGGAATTTGCCACACGCTGCTTCAGACCGGACCGGTTACTCAGTCGGTAGAGCGGAAGACTCAAAATCGGAAGGTCATGGGTTCGTTCTCAGGTCAGGGTCACTTGCTTTTCTCCCTCCCCCTCCCATCTTGATAAATGCGTGCCACTCTCTTCAAAGAGCGGAAAGGAAACAGAAGAATATAGACAATCATAGTTACATAATTGCAGTCGATTCTGTCTTAAATGACACCTGGCTGATGACCTGAAAATTGAAATCAGCGCCACATAATTGATTCCATGAAAACAAGGTAAGAGAATGAGCCCGGTGGCAAATGTGTAAAGCAGCTCGACATTCGTACGGTTTCTAACTTTCACCTTTTATCAGTTAAGCAGCAATGAATGTGAAATGCCAATGGACAAGACACGTTGCTAGAATAATCAAAAGAGCCATTAGGAGATTAGACTACTTTCCAAATAGGAGTAATCGGCTCGTAGGAAACTACCGAGGTCGACGTAAGGATATGCTAAATTTGATCATATTAGGGCTAAAACCGCAGAAAACAGGAATTTATGGTGGCAAAAAGTTTCATAGGCATTAATTCGCAATGGTTAGAAAAAGGTTGCTGATTATGACGATTTAAAGAGGCTATTTGATCCTCAGTCGTTCCTAGCTTCATCATTTGTAGCAGCTAGTTTCAGAGATGGGTCTTTTGATTTCAGTAAAGAATGACAGTGATTTTGCGAGAAAAAATTCCCTCTACAGTACAACAAATAGGATGACACGTGCTGAATGGTCAATCATTTATTATTCACTGACAAAGGAATAAATTTTTGAGAGATGTACTGCCACAGCCGAGGTTCAACGGCAAGATGTACTCTTCACATAAGTTTGTCGTAGCAGTTAACTGGTTATATTCAGCTGAAGTCCCTCCGTAATTTAAGATGACCATTCACAATCAATTTAGCAGAAGTACCTGAAAAATCGATGAGCTTTGTTGGTGTCTGCCGCAATAATGGTTACTGTTGAAATTTTAAACGCCCAAAACGTAGCACAGTGGTAAAAAGAATCAGATTTCGGTTACTTAACAGTACTCTCGCACTGAAGAGGATCAATAAGTATTGCGAAACCCAGTGATCTATGTCACACTGCGAAGCATGTAATATTTAGAAGCATCCTTTGACTTGCAGTGGCTGTAACCATTCAAACATTAAAATATCCGGCGGAAGGAGGGAGATTGATATGAATATCCGTTAGTGGAGGCAGTTCTGGTATCATCATTTCGAAGGTCGGCGAAATACCAAGTGGGACTGCAGTGATCACACTGAGGCTGAAATATAATTCACTAAACTAAACGTAAACTAAATTTGTCAATTTACGGTTATGTCCCCCCCCTCCATTTTTTTTTCTTAGGCGTCTTGCTGCATTACATCAAGGTAGTTCTGCTGAGAGAACATGTGCCTCACAGTTAAAATATCCAGGGTTAAAACTCGCATTTTGTTCTACCAAGGTAGACAGACAAGTAATCGTCCAAACGTGGAAAGGAAATATTAAACTATGATTGCAGATTCACAGTTTAAAGAACGAAACAACGTACGTAGTAACAGAAAAACAAACACTCGTCGTTACAAACCATTCTCAAAGTACAACTGATTATCACAGAGCTGCCCCTGTCTACACAAAACACCTTGATTTATAGTGAATGACAGTTTAATTTCAGATCTTAACGACCATATTCATAAATGTAAAGTTTGTAGTTAATTTTAAACACTCATTACATGAATTCAGATTTTCTTATCAAGTTCGTGATAGCACCTATAATTAACAAAAATGAGTATTCAATGCAGATACTGTTTCATCGGCAAAAATACAGTAATTCTTTTATCAAAAGACCAAACCTTAAGTAGCCCTTGTCATCACAGACATATTCGTCTGACTGTAGGAATGTCCGTCAGAAACTCCATGCTGTGTAATCAGCCTATTCAAAGCGGATTACAGATAAGTGTTATATGAAATACTAGACTATTCATATTAGCCACCAAGATGTAGACACCGCAGACAAAAATGTCATGTTAACTATACGGAAATCCGATTTCCTTCCATATCATGTTGTAACTATAATAATGACTCTAGCGTAGAAAAACGGTTTGAATTTTCGTACTGTAAACTGTTACCATGAACTATGGCTCAGAAAACGAAGAAATATAAACGATTATCAGTGTGATGCTTTCATAAAACGCAACCGTGTTTATACAGTTAGCATGATACACAAAGATAAATAATATAAGCATAGCTTGCAACCTGAACTATAAAAAAATATGAGTTGATTTCCAAAAACTTTAAAATGTAAAACAGTAAGGTCTATTCAGTGAACAGATGATACTATTTATGTAACAAGAAAGACTCTTGTACTGTATCCTGTAACAATAAAAATGCATGTACTTGTACTCTCGCAGCATCAGAAAAAGTATTCTATTCTTTTTGTCAAAAAGGAATACAAACGCTATAAATTCTATCGATAAGTTCGATTAACCTCACTGACAGTGACGTTTTGCTTGCTATTTTCCTCGAGCAAACTCATTAAGCACGAGTGAATTTTAACCGTTAATGACAGAGGTAGCGCATAAAACTAGTCGAAACAACCTCTATGCTGGTGATCAAGATATCTTACATGAAACAACAAGATTTACTAACGGAAAATCAACAAAGTACAATAACAGAACGGTGAAAGATCTTTACTAATGTTTTCATAAATTAAAATCGACGGTAATGACTAAACAGTGACTGTAGTTGCAACGTTTGCAACAACCGCTTCCTCAGCCGGTGGCTCGTACACAGTCTCTGATGGAGTCACGAAAGCATCAGTCCACAAGCTTACCTCCTTGGTGAGGTCTAGAATGACAAAAGTTAGATTAATGTCAAGGCTTCAATCCGGTTTGAAAACCATCTAATGCCTAAGGGTACAAAAACACACTTGTACTTATGCAACAACAGTAAGAAATCTGAGAGCAGTTGAAGTCATAACTTTGAAATCTAAAAACCAAAAAGCTGTTACCTGACGAATTTTCTAATCCCAATATTTGCTTATGTCCACCGCAAGCCAATACTCGCAGTAGCGTCTGAGCGGTGGCGCAGACCAGATCCTGATATAAAAACGCACATTATAAGAATCTTCAACATTACACAAGTCCATACCTGATCCGCTAAACTCATCGACTGCTGTACTCGAAATCCGGGGTCGCAGGGATCGACAACGTTTGACGAACCGGGGAGAAAAATTCCCGCCGATAACAGTTGCAAGCAACGCCTCAAAATTGCTGCTGATATAGATCAGCAAGCCGAGCCATATAACAATAAGCGCATAATTTAATTTGAAGTGCAACAGAAAGAGTAATTTCTGCTCAGCTATGAATGAGTCATCGTAAAAGTTGAAGGATCTATGAGAATTCAGATATCTGCTTGGTTAATGACTTCCTGAACTCACTGAAAGCAAAGAAACCGCGATATTTAATTTATAAGTCAGTAATTAATTTACTGCTTCAATAAAATTACAAGCACAATTCAGCTTTAGCAAAACTGAAATAATTATAATTCTAACTGAAAAGTCACAGCTGTGATGGTTCAGACATGTTTTGTGAATGCTTCCAGAGAGGAAAACGAAAGAGCCAGAACTTGCCCAGCAAACCGGGCGAACAGCCCGGTGTCGACCATATATTCTGGGGCAAGCGCTTCGACGGACGCCTCGATGTTCAAGACTCGAGTTTTCTTCTGACAAAACTCATACGCTGGCGCAGGATCAAAAACGTTGGAGACACTGTCTGACGTCGATGCCTTCGCGGAAGATCAACGGCAATCGAAACTGACAGACCAATGCAAAACGTTAATAATAAAACTGAAAAATTCGAAATTTAAGAGAGGCATTACAGGAAAGATTAAGATCGACAGTGATATGAAGGACACCAAGATGAAAGCCTAATTTGCTGCACTCTTGCACTGACTGCTATGCCATGTAGACCTGTCACGTGGATTGCTTTTGAGTAACTGTTATTTCAACGAGCTGAGTGGCAAAACGGCCTTCGAGCAATGTTGCATGCTGAGAGTGTTAAAGTGAGTGACGTCCGATTTCACAGCACTCAGCAGGACAGTCATCTGTGGGCTCCATGATGTCTGATCCTTTGTCAAACAAATGCAAAGGCGATGTCAGCCGTTATGGGTTCGGTTGCAAAGAGTACCATTAAATGACCTGATATCACAGCTCGTACATTTCGCCATGCCTCAAGAAGTTCATGCCAGGAACAACATTTCAGCAACATGTCACATCTTCTGCGTGAGAACATAGTAGAGTATTCATTTCACAACTGTGTCCGTGAAAACCCGATCTATCAACGCCTTTGAGAAAAACCATCTTTCCTATATCTTTTATTCATCTTCCACGCAAGAGTTTTGAAGGAATTGAACTCTGTTCGATAGCGGCTTAAAACAAGGTTCACTTCGCGTTGCTGTACCGGTCTGAATATCATACGCCCCTCTTGGGAGTTCAGTTCCTCCTATCTTAAACTGAATCATGAACCTTGATTTGCAAGTATAACTTAATTCCGCTTTGATATCTTTTTAACTGTGAGAAATGATAGGTGTTCCTTTGTGTACTTAGACTTAGACATTCATGGTCTCCCTGCTTCTAGAAGCCCAAAGGAACCTTTAAATAGATTACAGGCTATTTCAGAAAGTTAGTAGCCCCAGGTAGCAGAAATAAACTTTTGCTTGTAAATCTGATTTTGCACTAAATGAACATATGCTGTTAACTGCTAGTTCATTTTAACCAATTATCACAAAAAATGCAATTAATTGCGAGTTTAATTCCTCTTTTAGAATGCCACTAGCATAACAGTGACCCTGAAAGCACTGCTGGCTAGAGTATTGAGGTTTCCTTTAAATAAGAGATCAGATTCAGTTTTCAAGCAAAATTATCTCGCATCACAGTACGCTTGGTTTGACAATCTGTATAGCAAAGACCTTGTTTAGGGTCAGACTGATAGTTAGATTCCTTGAAGAATGGAACCCTTCTTTCTCACGATAATATCAAATATAGTCAACTTCAATAAACAGAAGGAATCAACTTAGCCTGAGGCCCGTCCTCAATATACAAACGAAAAGAAAGCATTGATATATCACCCTGATAAAATGACGCATTTTACTGTGATAATCAACTATGATTTTTTGCCGTTTCGGTACCTTCAACATTTTAATCATAATTTTCGGAATAGTTTCATACATATACACAGAAAAATATTGAGATGTGAATCCCTCCCTGACCTGTTACAAGCATACAGGAATAGTGCTCTGCATGACAAGTTCTGAAACGGATGTTTTTTGCAATCGTATGTTAAATTCTAGCATATCTGCCAATTAATATATGTATTTAATATAGTTCTCTTTTTCGGTACAAAAGACATATCATATCTACTGCTTCCTCTTTTCAAAAGCACAAGAACGTTATGAACAGCTGAGAGTTTATAAGAACTATGAAAAATATACCCCGAGTTACCTGAAAGCCTGATTAAGTTGTAGAGGGTCCCGATTCGGTGTGGTCATTGTTGCATAATATGCCTAAAAATTAACAATAACACAATTACAACACTGAACAATCTAAAACAAAGCCACATATGCGATGTGAATCCGTAATCAACGAATTCGGTCATGTTGAGATATAGAATGAGCTTACAAATAAATAATACCATACCAAAAGATCGATCATCCAAGGATTCATCGGCTGGAAACCAGCAAAGCGAGATCGAATGTCCTTTAAAATCCGGATCAATACTTTCACATTGTAATGTGACGCGTTCTCTTCAAACCAGCGAGCATGGCGGATGGCTACGAAGCTACGGTTCAAAAGCGTCGTGTTAACTGAAAGTAAAAGCATGTATGAAAAAAGGCATTCAGGTCTGACGCTTAAAGAAGAAAGCGAAGTAAAGAACAACACATAACAAGGACTAGAAGAAGAAAGAAGAAAAACGAAAGAAGAAGAACATGAAGACCATTACAAAGAAGATTTGACTTACGATGTAGTGTGGGGTCCAACTTTTTCATATTCGGCGGAATGGTGGCGATCATGATTTTGACGACGGCTTCAGGGCCACCTATTTCGCATCCAAAATCGCGATAAACGCATCCAAGAACTTGGCAAAAAAGAATTACATGAAACTGCCTATGAAAAACAATGAAAACTTACCTTCCTTCGGCTCTGCCAATTTTATATCCTCTACCACGCGATTGCCCAAAGCGTTAGCTGCTTCGGCTGTAAAGAACAGTAAAATAAGTGCACTTGTCTTGGAATTACTAACTACTGTTGCTGACTTTAGTCGTTCACAAACACTGTTTGTAAGTTTATATTACAGCCAAGGTATGAGAGAAGACAGGCTTGTATTGGCATGTCTGTTTCTCGCACACTTTCGGGATGGGTGCAATTAACGGTAGCTTTCTTTCATACGTCTCAAGGTACAGTAGTGATTCAGGCTCCTAGTTATTAGCATAGTTGGCCCATACCTGAAAGCAATATCTGCAGCTACGTATTGGCTTATCTGTGATGAAAGGCGGAAACAGCAGTGACCAACTAGGGGCTCTATTCGATCACTCTTCAATTTCGAGTTTCACACTGCACAGAATGAACTACTCCGACACCAGTGCTTAGCTACACTTGATTTTACTGCTTATAAATAGAAATTTGAAAGAGTGCAACAATTTAGACAACGTAGAAAACTTATAGTAAAATCACTGCAGGGGTGGCAATGAACAAGTAGAACATAACGATGAACAAGAGTGGCCGGGGTCCCATCTCTGAATGAATGGCTAACATGTGAGGCACTGCAATGTCAACGGCTTTTAGGTCCATATCAATAATCCGCACTTTCCGCACTTCCAGTCCCATAAGCAGAACACATTCTGGGGATATATAGAAAATTACGCACAAACTGCAACATAGTTCACCAGTAGACAGTCAGAGTTCACTGTTGTAATGAATAAAATGTAGACTAAGCCCGTTGTTTCAATACCGATGATGGAATGCAGAGCAAGATGATAAAAAATATCGTATGAGGTCAGCCAGACAACGAAACAAGGAAGAAGGTTTACGAGCCTCCGCTGGTGCAAGCGTTGACGACGAAACATACAGATCAAGGAGGTACGTTACGCATGACCATTACAGAAGTTCAAACAAGCAGACAGATATCATTGGGAAAAACACTGTGGGTGAGCTGAGCACGTACAGGCAAAGAAGATGGACCGCGCAGTCAATCAGAACCGTCAGAGACAAACTGCTGGCCCTAGTTATTAGCATATGACGTATCAAACAAAATTTCCTTGTTGCTTGTTGACTGGGAGCATTTAAACAGACTATGGACCACGGCTCCATGACATTCATCCTAGATATTAAAATTAAAGAATCGCTTAAATAAAAGCTGATCTTCCCCAAATATGGATCGTGTCATATTTACAGGCCCTCGTTCGGCCCTGCCTAGTAACGCGGTTTTGCATCGATGCACAGGAAATGCTCAAATATCATGTCGCCTTGGTCTGCTTAAATGGTCCACTTGGCGACTAGAAGCAATGAAACGGTGCTTACGTCTCTTCAACCCGGTGTCAAAAACTGAAAAGGATTATATATCTTAGCAGCGGTATCTATAACTAGCAATATGCAAGTAAACTCGTAAGATCGGGTAAAACTTCGAATATACACAATAAATGCCGATCTAAGGTTCGATTGAAGTAACTTTTTTAGACGATGGTCACGAAAAATCAACATACAATGACCAGAAAGACACTTACTTGTTGGTAGGGTTTTCAGTATGACCACGATATCGGCGACGTTGTGCTTGGTGACCATTGTTCCTTTCTTGAACGAACCGACCTGCTTGACCTCCTCGATAGACTAAAACAAAAAGTGTTACTTAAATTAAATTTTGGCAAAGTTTTAAACGCAAGACAACCACTAACCGCGGCAGTAAAAGAATCCGGATTGACGATCAACTTTTCGATCACCGATGTCACTTTGTTCAAGAGATTCATGACGGCTGTCTGTTCAGCAGTTGTTGGTGTCAGTTCTTCGTTGCGGCTTAGTAACAACTATAATGACAGAAAAATACAGTACCGCCACAGGGGAACAACAATGCTGTAAATACGTTACGACCTTAGTTTAGCTTAAGGCTTTACAATATTACTTTACTGCACCTTTTCAGCTCAGCTGTCTGTCTCCTATGATACGATGTATACCCGAAAACCGCACCAGTGTCATTTTCAGACATGAAGACAAAAATAAAGTTTGCATACTTTTGGACGTCGGTTCTGCTCACCTATTAATGATGGGCGCAATACGTAGACTCCAACTTTTATGTTGGAAAGAAGAAAGATGTTCGAACACTCGCAAATGTACCTCGATTCACAGGGCTCACAAGCAAAAGACAACTTCAATACTTCCGTAAATAACAGGAGAATAGTTTTACTGATGAGAAATCAGATTTATTGACTGGAGGCAGAAAGCGTAGTCTAAAATTTTATTCTGGGCCGCTACTTATTTGGTATGCATCAAATAACGCAAATATTTCTCACCTTGTCAGGCATCTCAAGACAGGCATTATATGGCTTTCACAGCGAGCCATCTTTAAGAGATATTTGCTGTTTGAGTCAACAGCCTCAGAACAGACATACTGATAAAAACGTGGCGCAATTCTATCCTGGCGGATCTCTTACGCTGAAGGAACTACAGAAAGTAAATTATTTTAAAAGACAGACGTTACCATTTACCTATCATCAAATTATTGTTTTTGTCCAAAATTTTACTTATAAAATGTAAGCCTACGCTGATTTACCTGCATTAAAGCCGAATCATCTTTTTCCACCACCTTTGGAAAAACGTTCGGGCAAAACGTCAGATCAAATACGGCTCTGCTGCGATATCCGTTATACCTGCCGCCGCGCATAGAATATCCACCCCTTGGTCGGAAACCATATCCTCGAGTTCGTGGTCTGAACACCGTACTTCAAACCAGTAACACACGATTAAATAACGAATGTAAATCCCGGAATGGAAGAGTTCCGTTAATTTAGTTTTATGCTAAGTGTTTACGGAAATCACTTAATCAATCAATCAATCACCGCAAATAGGGCAGATATTGCCGTAAACTAAACTTAAAGTACTGTAGTTAGAAAGTGAAACTAGTTTAAACCTTAGCAAGAGACATTTCTACCATTTATGATAAAATACTCCTGTCAGTGTTGCGACTTGCCGAAGCACGTCCGACTGTCAACTAAATCAACATAACTCTCGCATTTGCAACTAATGCCACTCACATATTGAATACAATCATGAAGCAAAGTATACTATAAAAAAAACTATCAGCCAATGTATGTAATTCTTCGTGACAGCTGGGTGGTCAAAACCCATCATAACAACGCTGCCAAATTTATACTTTCTGAAGAAGTAACACAATCTACCATGGACAATGTTTCTGAGAACTACAGTGGTAT